ACGAAGCAATGCAAAGCAAAAGAAAGGTAAAATAATAAACTATGCAACAACACAGCAGCAGCAACAACAACACGAACGACAAATTGCATTGACAATCAACTGCATGCAACAGCTTGTTGAACTCAGCTCATGCGCATTCGTTGTCGGCGTCAGCCCCCATCCTCACCCTCACCACCAACACCAGTTGCATGTCGCTGCAACCAATGCGCAGCGTGACAAATGCCAACCAACGAAGCGTGGCGACGGCCTGCGTGAAGAGGTCCGTTGTTAACTGATTCTTCTGTATGTGGCCCGAAGTTTACTTATCGTGGAGGGGAGTAGTCAAAGCGTACCTTTCTCGCTCGATTCCGATACAACTATACACTTGAACAAAACCTTCGCTTTGTTGGCTTTGGCAACGTGAGCCGAGATCTTCATTCAGCTTCTTTTTTTTTTTGCCTACGCGCATTTACTGATATTTTTTCCAAACCTTTAATTCTCCTTGACTCTTCGCAAACTGTATAAAAATTTTATTTCTCAATCGCTGTAACCGGTTTTGTGCTACGGCAAAATTATAGCCAAGCAAAATGAAAGCTGGCAGCGAAACAAAGAATGCTTTAAAGAAACAAAAGGGTCAATTTGGCCTAACCACGACTTGGGTAGTTCTGCATCTTCTGCTGTTGTTTGCCTGCTGTAGCTGAGCAGCATTCGATCTTTTTGTTATGTAGCAATGAGGAAGAGGAGTGGCATACAATTCGCTATGCAACTTTTAATGGTTTTGTTCTAAATTCCGATGAGTCGTTCGCTGCGGGATAGTTCTTCGGCAATCATGAAAAACATAAACAAATAAACGCTTAACCTCATTGTTCAAGTAATACTCATTTTTTTAAATTTCTTGTAAATTAAATTTTATTTTATTGTAGTCAGCGTTTAGAGATTTTAACGAGATATTTTTAAATAAATATACGGTGGATTCTTCAACAAAGTTTTACAGAAATTCTGCTTCTTTATTACAATTTACCACTGACTTTAATTTTAAGCTCTAGAAATTTCGGAATACCCTTTGCCACGTATGTACGTTAGGGTGGTCCAAAATAAATAAAGTCTTAATTTTAATGCTCTCACTACCTAGGATTGTTCTATATCGAAAAGAGTATACCCTTGTTTTTTTATTTAGAAATCGAAAAATATTTAGAGGCCGCTCAAAGCGCTCAAAGTTTTCCAAGGGTTTTTCGGTCGAAAAATATTGATTTTCAAGAATTCTACTCCAATTCTACGAAAAGTTGTTTTCCCCCATATAAAATACGACCTCTAAATATTTTTTTATTTGAATATAAAAAAAGAGGGGTATGTATATTTTTTTCGGTATGGAATAATCTTATGAGGTGAGAGCATAGAAATTCTGGCTTTACTTTTTTAGATGTATTTTTGGACCACCCTGATGTACATACATACATAGATTTGTATGTAGTAATCAAAAACGCACAAATCCTGACACTGCTTGAGTGATAATAGAAATGTGCTCTGTGGGTCTGGTCTGGTCTGGTCTGGTCAGAAAACCCCTTGACGTGCTTAGAGAAATCTATGTTCGGGGAAAAACTTACAAAGGTACAAAGGGTGAAGTGATGGCTAGTCTCAGGAGTCCTGCACTTCATTCCAACTAAACCGCACTAAATCGTCTTTCTGCAGACTTTAGGGAAAACTACAGCCAAAACTGTAATGTTGCTACACCTAACACTCTAGCGCAATGGTGGGATGCAACATTTAGTCACTCAAAAATTCCAGACCTCTGCTCTATCTCAGCTGCCGCTTCGAAAACGCAGTAGGTAGCTCAATATAGTAAAGTTAATTTATCGGCAGCTGAGTAGGACGTTTTTGAACCTTTTATTGAGATGGATGGGACGCTCTTCAACCCAATTCTGGAATAGAACATTTTACAACCGATTGCTAAGATAGGGCGTTTTCGAATCGGCTGCCAAGATAGGACGATCTTCCACTCAGCCACTGACATTCGCGTTGTTTTTTTATAAAAGTGTAGTGGGCGTGGCAATCTATGTATTTATTCAGATTTCTTCATTCCCACGAAAAAGCTCCACGGATAACAAATTACAGTAAAAATCGGAGCACAATTTTTATATTTGCTATATTTTACATATATGGACTCTTCCACTGTGCGGTGGGGCGAAGATCTTATAAAGGTAAGCTTAAGGAAAATAACAAAGATTTTTAAATAAGATTGTAAGGCTATGCCACATGATCGAACTAGAAATCAGCTCTGCTCTCCTTAGGCCTTTGGATAAGATGAAGTATGCGTACTCTGCATACTCAACTATTTCTATCAGTTTCATCATTGTACTATTACGCAAAAGGGAACAAGATGACCTGTTTTACCCAGAAACTTTTAATTTTTCAGACCCGGAATCCCTTTCTTGGAAATCTGTAGACCGTTTTAGTAAAAGGGAGCCCAACAAATGTTCCTACTGAAAAGTGGTTCAGATCTAGTTCTTCGTTTATAAGAAGGAAAACTCGGTTTATATTAACTTCAGCTTTTCTTATATACATATATCCTTAATAAGTATGTATTAGTAATGCGATTTTTTGTTCGAAGCTTTTCAAGGTAAACGTATGTACTAGAGCTCTCGATTTTGCTCGCACATTTTCAAACAGCCCAGGTATATGAGCAGCGAGTACTCGCACAANTATTATATTGACATTTTTGGTAGCAACTTTTTAAATTTTTCAAATTATTGATATATAATGCAAAGATTGTTACATTGGTATTTAATAATATAATTTATTTAACATGAATTAGAAAGCAGCTGCTGACAAATACAATTTACAAATTTTCTTTTGTTTATGATATTGTTCAAAAACTCGAAAATTTTGAACAAACATTTGAGCAGTTGAGCAATGAACGAGTTTCGAGAGAGTATCGAGCTACTCGCATTGCTCGATACCCGGGTATCTAGAGCTCTAGTATGTACATACATATGTAATGCAAAATCTTTCATAAATTATCTTGAAGGTGCTACATATTTCATGACTTATTTTAGTGAAGTAAACTTATAAACCAAATTTAACAGAAAATTTCGATAGTGACATCATCTAAATTAGCAATATAAATAAAATAATTTGATTTGTCGTGAGCAATGTGAGCATTTAAAAAAAAAAAACATATCAATTTCGATAGATACAAATAAATATATTGTACATAAATATATACATATGTACACTAAGCCAGCAGACTAACGCTTCAATGACCGCGACTGCTAATCGTAGGCCATTAATCTGGCTTAAAACATTGGCATACGAGACGTGAGCTTAATATGTAGCACATTTACTCACTGGCTATTTGCGCTTCAAACGCTTTTTCCTATACGCAGCCAAGGCAGTGTAGTTTAATGCGCCTTGTACACTGCCAATACCCAGCCAGCAAAAAATCCGAAAATCGATCCGAAAAAGGAAAAAAAGTGGATGAAGTGTTTTGTCCGTTTACCGATTTCCTTTTCGGATACTTTGACGATCCGTTTTCCCACTAAATTGTGCGGCACAAACGTATATATGTACGGACAATTATTGAAAATTGTTTGTGAAACGGATACTTTTTTTGGTTATTTTTACTGAAATTTGTCTGATTAAATTTTTCGTTCAATACGATTTCCTTCTGCACTTCACAGATACTTTTTCATGGTTGGGAAAAATAAAATAAGATTAAGGAAGAGCCCGACGGAATTCGAACCCGGCACCTTCTGGTCGAATTTTCGTTCAATACGATTTCCTTCTGCATTTCACAGATACTTTTTCATGGTTCAAAAATTAAAACAAAAGCAAAGGAGGCGCCTGACGGAATTGGAACCCGGCACCTTCTGGAAGCTAACAAATAGCGGCACGCCCAGCCACTACCGACTACGCATGTATGCTTTCAAATGTTTAGCTTGAACAAATAAAATGCAATTATTGCTTTCAAATAACATCATTTCTTTCGAACTTTTCGAACATTTTCCGGATACGAAAATGAATGATAACTGTAGTCGGTTTCTATTCATTTCCGGATATAGAAGATTGTACTAGACTGCGCTGTCGGCAAAATTTACGTTTCTCTGCTGGCTGGGTAACACTAGCATACATACATACATACATTCAAACATATTTACACTGTTTACTACTTCACATCGATTGCGCAATGATACTTCTTGGCCAATATAGTGGCTATTAATTTTAGCCGGAAATTACACCATGACCAACATCGCCAAGCAGAAATTATCTAACTGTATATGTTATGGACGAGATTAAAGGAAGAAGCGGAGGAGTTAATTAAGAAATCACTTTGACATTTTTATATGAACACAAATTTTTGCTTTAATTGAAATGGCAAAGGGGTGAGAGTGTTTGTTGTAAATACGATTAGCCAAAGCAAAAATGTGAATTTTAAATGAAGATGGTGAAAAGGTTAATACTTACATACACACTCACATATATACATAACTAATAATTTTATATACATATCTAAGTAAATATCATAAATAAAATAGAGCTAATTTGGTTAACTAGGCAAAACTTTGGAAGGCCTTCTATGCAGTCTCGCACATTGATTTGTACCAAAACTGATGAGCTAAGAATATTCACGTGCAATTTGATACATATGTACATACGTACTTAGCCACAAACTATTAGCGTAAAATAAAAATAAAATATTATAAAATATTTTAAGTAAAATATCTGTATTCATGCATACATATGTATGCACATATAGCGTAAAATATTTCAAAGTGCAAAAAAAAATATATATATTTTTTATTTACTGAAGCAAAAAATGACCGCAACCAATTTTCATTCGTGTCTATGCAAAATTAGTGAAGCAAATTAGAAAAAAATTATAAATATAGCAAATGAATTCAAGTTATTTTTTCAGGCGAACTATTTACACGTGCTCGTTACAGTTTTTTTAGTAAATCCTTAAATAATATTAATTATGTATGTACGTATTGTAATAAAAATTGGTTTGCTTTGTAAAATTTTGCTTACTGTCTCATAGAACCCCAACGACGATTCGTTAGACTGTCAGGATTGCTGTAATAAATACAAAATAAGAAAATAAGTTAATATATGTAACTAATTTAATTTGCGAGAAAGGAGTGCAGTTCAATTAGAAATGCATACAGTTGTTAATATTTTGATTTTAAAGTTCTAAAGACAAATATGCACTTTAATTAAAAAATAAAATGTTAAATGTCAGGAATGCTGTAGAAATATTACTTTAGTAATCCTCCATTATTTTTTATATTGTATTACGAGGTCAGTGCGATAAGTTAATGTAAAAAAAAACTTAAAAAAAACTTTAATTTCTCAACATACATATTGGCCTTTATCTCGAACCATTTAGCCTAGTATTTTCCCATTGTGTTTCCCTTTCAAAAAACAGGTTTTCTGAAGATCCTAAATTGACATTTGTTTCAGCGAAGAGTTCTTCATTCGACCAAACCCTTTACCGGCGAGCCATTTCGTCAAGTATAAAATAGTGCGGGCCGAAAGTCCGCTTTTTTAGAATTTTGATTGGTAATAGCAAATTCATGGTTCATTAAAGTGCTCTAAAATTTTATTTAAAAAATATTAATTAATGCATTTATAAATTTTTATTTTTTGACACACATCGAACTTTAATGGAATTGGGCGAGCCTAAGATATTGACCAAAAATAGTCATATTTCACACAGATTGAGTTTAGAGAATAATGAACCATATTTTTGCTATTACCAATCAAAATTCTAAAAAAGCGGATTTTCGGTGCACGCTAGTATATAAACAGAAAATAGTCGGATTGGGCTAAATAACGTGAATATGCTGGAAGGTATAGCGTTTTCGCCAAAATTCACAAACTCATCTGCTTGGACGCTCCTGCGTCTGAAAGGATACCACTGATCAAGAGGAGTATAATCCGCAAGTTCATCCATCACATAGTTTGACAGTTCAACCAAACTGGAAGCCTAAAATTTAGGCCTGCTTTCAGAGGATATTCTTCTCGTCCCAATTCTAATTCCCGGGATGCACCAATGTCATTCGGGTCTCTCGTACCAGTGGATTTTAGTCGTTTATGACGACAAATGTCCCTTACTGCGGGTATATTATGCACCCTCTACGCCGAAGGTTTAGGTATGAGGNGTATAAAATAGTGCGGGCCGAAAGTCCGCTTTTTTAGAATTTTGATTGGTAATAGCAAATTCATGGTTCATTAAAGTGCTCTAAAATTTTATTTAAAAAATATTAATTAATGCATTTATAAATTTTTATTTTTTGACACACATCGAACTTTAATGGAATTGGGCGAGCCTAAGATATTGACCAAAAATAGTCATATTTCACACAGATTGAGTTTAGAGAATAATGAACCATATTTTTGCTATTACCAATCAAAATTCTAAAAAAGCGGATTTTCGGTGCACGCTAGTATATAAACAGAAAATAGTCGGATTGGGCTAAATAACGTGAATATGCTGGAAGGTATAGCGTTTTCGCCAAAATTCACAAACTCATCTGCTTGGACGCTCCTGCGTCTGAAAGGATACCACTGATCAAGAGGAGTATAATCCGCAAGTTCATCCATCACATAGTTTGACAGTTCAACCAAACTGGAAGCCTAAAATTTAGGCCTGCTTTCAGAGGATATTCTTCTCGTCCCAATTCTAATTCCCGGGATGCACCAATGTCATTCGGGTCTCTCGTACCAGTGGATTTTAGTCGTTTATGACGACAAATGTCCCTTACTGCGGGTATATTATGCACCCTCTACGCCGAAGGTTTAGGTATGAGGATTTCCAGGTAAAAATTCCAACCTGGCAAATGGAGCGCCTTTGATTCCAAATACATATGCTCATTGCTACACAGACGGATCAGGGACGGATCATAGAACTCGTTCGCTAGTTTATAGGCCCGCCAATGACCAGAGGACCTATAGTCTTTCAGGCGGCCGAGATGCTGGCAAACCCCAGCTTTGAAAAGGATTTGAAAGGCGCGATTATAGTTATCTCTTTAGAGAGGATCAGGGCACATCCGAATAGGATGTTCACCGCCCCGCTCGTCTAGGAGCTTTTAAAATATCCTCAAATCTTGGCAGATGGAAACACGCTAAGACTGTGATAGGTACTAGGTCGATAGAACATCGATGGACACCAGATCGCAGACGAACTGGCGAGTCAAGTCACAACGTCTCACCTCTTGAGACCGAAACAATTTTGCGGACTTTGGTTGGTCTTCTTTGAAACTGGCAATTACCGAGTACATAAACTCAAAACGCAGTAAGTGATGGGAAGCGGTATCATTTTGCAAGAAGGGACTTATAGCTTTTGAAGTGAACCTACATCAGGTAGCTAACAAGGTACCTAAGGTGACAATTATCTGCGTTCTTACACCCACCGTACGGGCGGAGACGGAGTACCATTTTTGTTTTGAGGACAAAGAAGCACCGGAAAAAAATCTAACGATCTTCTAGGTATTCTATTCTACAGAAGATGCACACCATTTTTCGGTTATCAGAAAAACTAGTGATAAACTATAGGGGCTTTATTATAATTTCACCATTAAAAGAGCAAGAGCAGACGAAGGAAAAGGCTATAAGGATCCATATAGTTTTTCATAATATTTACATATGTCGGGTGAACGGAAATTTGATCTTTCGCGATCGAAATTAATTCAAAGGCGGTCAATTCTATGGTATAAAGAGCGTACTTAAATATTAAGAGCACAACAAAGAGAACACGAAAGTCTCAATGCTCTTCGAGCAAAATTTTAGTAATTAACAGTTTGAGTGAAATTATTAGCTGCTCTTATTGCTCTTAGGCGTCATAAAAGTGTACTCTTTTGACAACAAATTAGTAAGAAAGTAGTAAATATAAACAAAAAGTGGGCACCATACAAGTTTTGTTTTTATTATATGTAGGTATAGCTTAAGTTCAGTTGACATGCAAACAAAAACCAGTTTTTTGTAAAATTCAGACTTATTTATACGCAAATGTACATACATATGTACTTATTTTATAACAAATGAGCGAAAAACAAAGAGGTAGATAATTTGTATGTGCATATGTATTAACACACATATGTATATGCGTAAATGCGAAGGTGATCGTCATATTGGGGAAAACAACACTGACGTATGAAGGTACTAAAGTGGGTAAGCCATAGTTACATATGTATGTATATGCATGTACATTAGGGTATGAAGACGTTTCAACCGACTCCAATCGGGACCAAAATTTATATGTGATATCCCCGACTTTAGTGTTATTGATTTTGCGTATAAATAATATTTTGAATTTTTTGAGTCCATAGAGACCCCTTTGCGACACGCTTTAACCGACTCCTATCGGGACCAAAATTTATATGTGATATCCCCGACTTTAGTGTTATTGATTTTGCGTATAAATAATATTTTGAATTTTTTGAGTCCATAGAGACCCCTTTGCGACACGCTTTAACCGACTCCTATCGGGACCAAAATTTATATGTGATATCCCCGACTTTAGTGTTATTGATTTTGCGTATAAATAATATTTTGAATTTTTTGAGTCCATAGAGACCCCTTTGCGACACGCTTTAACCGACTCCTATCGGGACCAAAATTTATATGTGTTATCTGTGACCGTGGTATTACCGATTGAGGGGGTGAGACCGAAAAAAAATCGTTTACTTGATTTTTTTAAGGACCACTCTAATGTACATACATATGTACATACATTAGGCTGTACCATATTCCAAAGTATTTTTGAAGGCAAATTCGAAAGAAAAAATTTTACCCAGCATAGTTCTACTGAAACAATCGAAATACTTCCTCCGGAAAAAGTGATTTAGTGACATTAAGGTGGTTTGTCAGGGTGATGAGTATCTAGTGGATATATACTAGAACGTGGTACTTGAGTTGAATAAACATTGGCACAAAAACAATTGTCTCCTCGAAACACTTTAAGATCCGACTGTAAATGCCGATGGGGGAAACATTTTTTCGAAATTGTCTTGGAAAAATCCTTTACGAATAAAAATGGTACGGCGAACATTATTTTTCGTACGGTCTAATGTATGTCTGTATGCATGTATAAGGTAAAAAAAAAATCTAAGTCTGAATTTGAATGATTTCACCCCCTAGGGATGTTCTATACCGAAAACATACTCTTTTTTTTTAATTATTTTAAATTTTAAGCTGCCTTTACAAGGGTCGATTTTCTAGTAAATTTTTGTAGTTCATCAAAAGCGACCCGGGTAAATGGTAATTCAACCATAAAAGGTAAATTCACTGGCTAGTCGATGTCTCAGTCGATTTTCCAATCGACTGAAATCGACCAGTGTAAAGGCAGCCGCTTTATATGGGGAAAAACAATTTTTCTTTGTTTAACTATTTTGAAATATTGTCTAATTTTTTAATATAATAAAAAGTGGTAAAATAAAAAATTTAGTTTTATTATTCGAAGTTTCTTAAAGATAAAAACAGTTTTACGAAGTAAAAATATTTATTTTCAAGAATCATATATGTAATACTCCTATATTGGCAGTAAGAGCTAGTACCGTCCGAAAACACTACAGTACAGATATATAAATAAACACGTACGAAAGAAAAGGAACACATACGTTTATAAATAAACATGTACACAACACATATACAAAAACGGCACTCAAGTACACAATACATTGACAAAAACCGTACTAGACTGTCTCGCTTTGATTTCGGAATGCTTACACATTGAGAAGTTAGCTTACTGCCAATATAGAAGTATTACATATATGTCAAGAATATCATACCATTTCTATAAAGATTTGTTTTTTATATAGAAAACTATGAGCGACCTCTAAACATTGCTTGATTTAAAAATAAAAAAGGACTTTTCTTTTTTCACCTGCATTTTTGGGTAACCTTAATGTACATACAGCTATACGCAAAGTCAACAGCGATTTACCTACATATGTATGTATGCGCTTATCTAGATTTATATAGAGGCACATTTAAGGCAAACTGGTCGTTAAATATTACGTCAAATTTCAGCGGAAAATTAACTGGAGACGCAAAAGTTAAGCGGCAACTTTTTTACACACAAGTCCGTATGTTTATTGTAATGAACTTACAAAAATGGCGTACTGTCACTTTGACATTTATAGACTCACTAACTCGTGTTAGTGAGTGATTGAGTGAATGACTGCTGCTGTGTGGTCACCATTACCATATAAATCAACTAGTAAACCGCCAACTAAACAATCGGCAAACAATTAACTTGGAAGGTAAATTATTACCTCAATGACAAGACTGAGTAGTAGTGGAATGAACTTCCAAATATATTAGCCGTTGGTAGAAATGGCAATAGCTGACATTTTCGCACTACATACAATACAATACATAGGCTCTATAGCTACTCACCTAGATGAGGTGGTGGTGCGACGTAGACTCATGCGTGCCCAATTGTCGCGTGGAATGATGCTCAACTCGTCATCGCTAAAAATGACAAAGCAAAAAATTATTATAGCATAAAAAGGTATTTTTTTGTCGCACAAATATAAATTTTAGCAACTCACTTGTTTGGCGTCGTAGTAGCGTTGTCATGTGGCGCCAGCTCTAATTCCACACCGCCAACGCTACTGCCACCGGCGACCGTACTGCTGCTGCTGCCATTATTGTTGGCAACATCGTTGCGTAACAAGCCGGCCGATGCACTAGATGCAGTGCGTTGATGATGGTGCTGGCCGCGCACTTCGTTTTCGCCATAGCCCTCATATGATTCACCGTCCGAGAGTGAGGAACATTGTGATTTGGCGGCATCTGCTGAAAGAGCAATATTTATAAAAAAAAAAAGAAATCAAAATTTCCGGCACTTTAGATTAGTGGCATTCTTTTGACTCACCTGTGCTGGAGGGCGGCGTTGAGGGCGTTGGACTTGTATCGCCCGGTGAATCAGCCTCAGCATAGAGGAAGTTTGTATTGGGCTTGACGCCTTTCATGCTGGGCATTGGTGCCATTCTCGTTTGCTGTTTGTTGATTTTATGTTTTGTCGCGCGCGCTGTTTACGCGTTTTCAACTTCAACTATGTATGTATATTTAAGCTGCTGCGTTGATTTTGCCGATTTTTTACACACAGCCTGGAAAAATTAAAAAATTTAAGAAAATTTAGAATTTTTTGTTTTATGTGTGTATGCAAAAAAAAAAAAATAAAGTAAATAAGTGAGTGGGAAACGGAACATATCTAAAAAAAAAGTGTTGAACTTTTGGAAAAATTAGCAAAAATTTTCAAAAATTCTACTACTATTATGCTGAGTTTCCACTAGGTATTAAAATCACAAAATTTTTATTGACAATGTTGGGCATTAAAAAATATCTGTGCCATTACTTTCATTATATCTGTTTCCACATTTCCTTCTTTAAATGGCATACAGTTTTTGTCATTTCAATGCCTAGTGGTAATTCGGCATTACAAATGTGAAAGTTTGTGAGTGTGTTTGTTTGTTGATCTTTCACGCTAGAACGGCTAAACGGATTTCTTTGAAATTAGCATTCAATTAACATATAGGGTATTTTTTTTAAGATAGTTGCCACCTTTTAAAGAAGTTAAAATCCAGCAATTATTAAATCAAATCAAAAATTACAATGTGGGTGTCAAACCAAAAGGGCTTTATTTCGAAAATATTTTTTTTTAAGATGGCTGCTACCTGTTTGAAAATTCTAAATCAACTTTATTAAAAAGTTAAACGAAATATTTTAATATTGGTATCAATCGAGCGAGGTTTAAAAAAACTATTCTTTCAGAGGGTTGCCACATTTTCAAAAGTTGAATTCAGTTAAAATAACAAGTTAAACGAAATATTTTAGTATTGGTATAAAACGAGAGAGGTTCAAAAAAGCTTTATTTCCCAAAAATTTTTAATTGGGGTTGCCACATGTTTGGAAATTCTAAAAAAATGCAACTAACAGGTACAATAAATTATTCTAATATTTCTATCAAACGAGAGAGGTTTTAAGAAAGCTGTTTCTATTTTTAAAATATTTTTGACAATGGTTGCCACCAGCTTAGGAATTTAAGATCTATTTAATTGATAAGTTAAATGAAAGCTTCATAAATATGAAAATCGTTGATCAAGCTTTTCAATTTCCAAATATGTTTGTACATTTCTTACTTTCGAGCGTTCATATACCACCGAACTTATCTCTTATGGAAATATCTCCTGATTTTCAACAATCTAACCCAACTACAACTTTTTCAATGGCTAATCAAGTCTAACAATGTCAAGGCATATGTACATTAAGTGTCTTTTAAATGCGAGACATATAAAGAAAAGCGCGCACAATGTGGAGTAGCTACGCTACGTACATATGTATTTACAATGCAACCTTAACTTTACACATGTACGCCTACATACATACGTATTTTTTTATGTCAATATTTAAATAGATTGGTGGGCATAGATACTCGTATCACGAAGAATAGTTGTATAGGCACACATAAATATGTATGTACATAGGTTTACAGCTGCAATGACTTTAAGTTGACCTAAATGGCTTTGAATTGGAGTGGCGCTACTGTTACGTGAGTGCATTCTACATCTGTAAGGGCCGTTTTCTGAAGTAACCTTTAACTTTAAAGCTCACTTTATATTTAAAGGCTGCATTAAAATTTATAATTGTGTTTAAAGTAAATCATTTTATTGCCGGTTTTAAATTGATTTACAACCAAGAAACATACATACGTCAAAAACCGATAATAGAAATGCTTAACTTTAGACATAGCTTTATTTTTAATCCAACCTTTAAATATAAAGTGAGCTTTAAAGTTAAAGGTTACTTCAGAAAACGGCCCTTAGTATGTAAATAGTATTTAAGTATTTACCAAGCAAAAACTTCATATATGGGTCACCTAAATACAAACGCCGACTAACTGAGCTGGTCAATTATTTAAGCCTATATACATACATACATGCAATCAATATGTGACACACAATGGCATAAAAATACCTGAGCAATCTGCGGACTTTCAATAGGTTTACAAACATGTGTATGTAGATCAGTTGTATGTACGATAATAGTACATAAGTAAGTTTCTGGATATTGACTTGTGCCACATAACGGCACGTTTAGAATGTGCATTATACTTTGCTGATAAAAGAAAAAAGTAATTTGTCACGTGTGGCCTCTCTAGCGATCTCATGGCATGCAACAGTAGTAGAGAAAAGTATTCGTACAGAGGCATGATTGTACTAGGTTAGGTTAGCACCGAAAAGGCTTAACGGTACAAGTAGTAAATCTTTTACAACATCTAAAAACTGACCTTGGAGCCTCTAAAGAGAGATTCTGCAAAAGACTATTGATGGACATGTTTTTTTGTAGGATCTTCAAGATCCTTATAGCTGAACATCTGTAAGAAAAAAGATGATCTAGCGTCTCCTTGATTTCTCCAGAATTCATTACAAGCAATGCTTTTGCCTTTTTTAGCGTGGTTCTGGTAGCTTCTAGCCTCGCAACGTCAATTCAACCTTATTTCAACAGAAGAACGCATGAACCCTTGAGATCAAAAATTGTCCATAGTATGTAAGTAGGTATGTACACATATAGTGCTTATCATAACTNTGATAAAAGAAAAAAGTAATTTGTCACGTGTGGATTCTCTAGCGATCTGATGGCATGCAACAGTAGTGGAGAAAAGTATTCGTACAGAGGCATGATTGTACTAGGTTAGGTTAGCACCGGAAAGGCTTAACGGACCAAGTAGTAAATCTTATACATCATTTAAAACTGACCTTGGAGCCTCTAAAGAGAGATTCTGCAAAAGAGTATTAATGGAAATGTGTTTTGTAGGATCGCATGAACCCTTGAGATCAAAAATTGTCCATAGTATGTAAGTAGGTATGTACACATATAGTGCTTATCATAACTATACGACACTCAAATATTGACAAAATTTGCCTATTTATTTAATAATTTTTTTAATTTTAATTACTTCTTATAAAATAATGCTTTATTCTTAAACAAAAACCGTGTAAAACCAAGTTCCAGTGTTTGTGCAATATTTAAAAAAATTAACAAACTTTCGTAAAAACTTTAAGCTTTTCTTAGATTTCCTAGAAAGCTGTTGGGTATGCAGTTTTGTAGCCCATTCAATTTGAGTAAAGTGCAAGTTTAAAGCAGCTTGGACTTGCCGTTTATATTTGACATTATTTTTTTTTGCTGACGATGTCAATAATTTTCTTCCATACGAAATATGTTCGACGATTTTTTTTTACTTTGAAGTGCCTGTGAATTTATGTAAATACAATAGAATTGGTGTACTGTCTAATCGAGCGACTTTACTCGCTTATTTTTCTTTTCATAAAGCAAGTTCTTATGAGGACCAGTAGGAAATATCCATGAAATAATATTGAGAGCATCCGTTGACACAAGTACTCATATTGGTTCCATAATTCAGTCCATCAGATGAAGGAAATACGCATTACGTGCCACAGCCGTATATATTCAAAGTACATCTTTTGAGTTGAAACTCCAGATTCTCGCAAAAAGTCGCTTGCATTTTAGGCATTCATGCATAGTTTCCCGTCTTAAAATGTATGGGGAGCAAGCACAGGGGGTCATGGGGAATTATTACTTCCAACAAACTTGACCCAACTCTTTGGTTTATCTTAGTAGTTTGTCGAAGGAAACAGAATATAACTCCTCCATTCTCAATACATCTGACGCAAAATGCGCCATCTCAATCTGGTGAAGGATCATGAGATCACTGATATGCCTGACAGTTCCTGCAAATAATGTCTTTATAACGAGCCCTAACCGCCAAAATAACGTAAGCGACATTTTTTTCAAAATTTTCTTTTTGATGCAGAAATATTCCAAGAGCATCTAGATACATTTCGGCATCAAAAAGATTATTTTGAAAAAAATGTCGCTTACGTTATTTTGGCGGTTAGGGCTCGATAATTGTCTTCATTCGAATAGGGGACTTCAAACAACCGCAGTTCACCAATTAACTTAGCCAGTGAGTGGCCTTTCACACCACATCGTCGGCTTCTTTACTATCTCCTAAATATTTATCTGGCAATTTGTCTTAGGTTCAGAGCTAAGTTCCTTTCCAGGTACCAAGTACCAAGGATATACCTCAATCAGTTGTCCGAATGTGTGCATCGAGAAACCCCTAAAAAAATTAACAACAAGAAGAAACTAAGCTGTTTGGGTCAAAGTATCTAGCATTTATATGGTCTCGGCTTTGCGATTTCGAAAAGTACTTGAAAGTAGATATACCATTCCTATTTCTCATAAACTCGTGGTATTGCAAGATAGAGAAGATAACTTCGGCATTTTTTATAATTTTTAATATAAATCATGGGTGGATCAGAAATTTACATATCGTCACCCTTATGCCAGAAGTATGAATGTGCAAATATATCAGTTTTGAGTTATTGGGTTGACTTGATTAACCTTTGGATGTTCCATGTTCTACCAAAAGCCTGAATACCATGCGTACATAGAAACCACATATTTTACAATTTCAATTGCATTAATGTAGAGTTAAGACTCGTAAAAAAAATCAAACTTATAGCTGAAATACAATGCCGGCGAACGGCGAACTCACCACAGCGAAATTCGCGCTGTCAAAATTAGAACACCCGCAAGCATATGAAATTGAACACAGCCAAAGCGAAATGCGAAGTTCGCTTGGCGGCGTTTCATGGCGATAGATTTATTTCTATCGCCCTGCTGGGCGATGACAGCTGTGCGTGCCAAACGACTTTTTTTTTTGTTTGAAAAATATAGTTGTGGATTCGTTAAATCTGGCTTGNGACACGACTTTTTTTTTGTTTGAAAAATATAGTTGTGGATTCGTTAAATCTGGCTTGAAACAAATTATTTATAATAATCTTTCTTTGTTTTACATTTATATTTGTTATCATTTCCTCATTTCTAAATATGGTTTAGTTTTTTCTAAATATGGTCACCCAAATTATAAAGGCGACCAAATGGGATCAGCTGTTTTCGCTACCGCTCTAATTCTGTTTAAGTAGGCGAAATAGCTGGGCGAACGGTGAACGACAGCATCGCCCAATTCGGCGAAGTTTGCCGTTCGCCGGTATTGTATTTCAAGCATTAAGGCGCTGGCCCAATGCAGGCT